AAGATATAAGCTTGTAGTATTACAAAATTTAAGTTATTCAAAAAATGATTAAAATGAGAAAAAACTGCCTTAAACCAACAGACGATTATTAAAATAATTGCTATTTTATAATATATTCAATGGAACTTTTTAAAATGTACACAAAAATACCAAAGAAATTAAAGAGACCACATTTTTTCAATAAATTTTACAAAGTGATATTTTTTATTTAACAAATTTAATAAAAAATAATTTATTAAATTACTCATTAAATCGTATATATTTTATTATAAGGATCCAGATAAGTTCTTTAAAATATTGTGCATTTAAGATTTACTTAAGTTAAGATTTTCAAGTGTAGAATATTATTGTTTACCAAATATGATTTAATATATTTTATAATATTTAAAGTAACCATATACGTTTTTAATTTATAATATAAGACGAAAAAAAATAAACAATATAAATAACAAAGTTAGAGATGGCTGTCGATTAAAAAGCCTCACAACTCTTACTATATTAAGAACTATTGTTATACAATAAATATAAATGTACAACCACAAATGATATCAATACAACAATAAAGAAAAATAATATCAACCAGCTCACCTTAGTCCCTACCTAACGAGAACCCCATATTAGACAAAAAAACCTTTTCTACATAATATTATTAATATGTGAAATAGTATTTACATTATATGAGGAATATTATGTTCTAACATAGGTATGGTAAGTAAGTATACTTTATATTATATATGTGCATATATACTGTTTATATACTTCCTTGGTGACGCCTAAGAGATTTTTACTATGCAACACACGATCGTCTACCAGAAAAATTTAGAGTGGGGCCTTATCGTAACCAAACACTTAAAAAATAACTGTCGCGGTTGGGTACGAGCTACACTGACGAACCACCAAACAGCAACTACAGTGTCATACTGAGATTCACTAGGTATGTCAGTTTCTTAACATTTGATGTATGTAAAAATTGATGAAGACCTCTGCAAAATCAACAATCGACATTTTTATTTACATGTTCGTTTCACATTCAAAAGTCACATTGTGATCCATGTAGGTAAGTCGAGAGAACAAAATACCGTTCTAAGTGGGACCCTACACGTTACTAGAATTATTAAGCTTTTATTATTGTTTCTAACATTGTTGTTTGAAATAATTAATGATATAAATATATGCAATACCATTCAATCATATATACTTTATAATATATATTTTATTATAATTTTGAGCACGGATCGTAACTACTCTGCTCCTACGAAAACTTGAGACTAGGAAAAACTATTGAGTCTATAGATATTGTCCGTGCAGTTTCCTTATTATTTATCTGTAACCCGAATTTATTCGTTAGGTCAACAGTTGTCTTAATTAAAATCTCGATATTATTTTCTTCCAAGAAACAAATTATTAATTTACAAAATTTAATATTAAAATAAACTTATTGAAGTAGACGAATCTCGGCATATATATCATGTAATTTGTAAAGTGTACATCAATAAGTTACGGAGCCCTTGACTCGATCAAACGAGGTCTAAGTACGACAACGCGCGGTTTCTAGTTACCATAGCCGACACTTAAGTTATTGTGTACATCTCACAAATCTCTCTCATAATCAATTCACCCATCGACTTTAGGTCTGACCAACTTACTGTTTATAAAACAAATGATATAGTGAAGTAAATATTAATATCGTTCATCGAACCCAACCAAGTAATATAGATATTTTTCAAACTATGAATAATCATTTAAAGTGAAGACGGATAAATTATAAGCACTATTATATTTATTCATATATATATATATGTGTTACTGTCAAAAATAAAAATCGGAAAAACCTCAGAAATGCAGATGAAAAACTTGGACTTTACACGTTGTGCTTAGTAAAAATCATATTTTGCCATTTTCCCGAGAAACCTTAATTGTAACCGACATAATTTTGGCAATTTTTGATGTTTAACCGATTTTGAATTTTATTTGCAACCTAAATACACTATTGTATACATACATACATAGGTATACAACATAAATCACTACACGTATGACCATAGTTGAAGAATAATATAGAATATAACCGGAATATTAAGCTATACAACCACACAATTTGACAGTACATTGAGAACATATCAGGCTCATCGTGGCTTACCGTTTTTCATTAACGTTCAATCTTTCCACATTAAACGAGTAATAATCACGTTCACCCATAATATTATATTACATCTCAGTTTAAACACCCATATTTTACCTGATTCAACTCTCTAATATACTTCGCATATTTTATTATACTACACTACCTATCTGGGGTGAAAAAAATATAAAACAAAGTAATCTATATATAATATATTTCTTAGATTTATACTTAATCCTCAGTACCTTTTATAGTCGTATATTATAATTACTGTTTAAGTTCTACAAAAGTCAGTTTAATTTCCTCGTACAAAATATCATGTTTATTTAGATAAAATATAGGTATAATATTAATATGTAAATATTTACTTTTTATGCATTATATTACTACAAGGCTCTTGGCAATAATATTTAAACGATCAGCACACTACTTTGTAATAATTACTTAATATCCTTTACCGCATAAATCCATAAGCATATAGGTAAATGGTTTCCATATACACACACTAGACATATTAAATGTAATATTAAAGCTTGTTTGTAAAGTTATTGCTAATTTATTAATTTTCTTAAATTAAAGTACTGGTTGTTTATTTATCGTTAAAATAAAGCACTTAAATTGTTTGTTTCTTTTTATAACTCTGCAATAGCATTTTGAATATTTTACTTACATAACACACAAGTGTACAACTTACTGCAGTAGAATAAAAAAAAATATTATTTAAATGAATAAACTAACCCGATGTAGTTATATCAGTTATAATCATTAAACTGTTACCATGATTCTCATGTAATATTAAAAATCCAAGCAACAATAATCTTGAATTGTTATGAAAAATAATAAATTAATTTCAAAATTTAATATCATATGCCCCACATGGTGCCGGCCTCCAATCGATTAGTTTTCGTCGTGTAGTTTGGACCGAAAAACATATACATACATATGATATAGCAGTATAATAATATACAGATATTTAACACGGGATAAAATTATTTGGCATGTTTCCATGTACAAGGCTTTCTAACGAATTTGGTAAAAGGATAACTTTTTTTATCATGATTTTCCTACCCACTTAACTGAAAAATTAAAAAAAAAAATTCATAGAAAAACTATCAATGTTCGACTTCTGCAGGACACAAATCATCCCTCCTTCATGCCGAATAACTTAATGCTGCAGTAGCAGAATATTGGGTACAAAACACGATTTTAACGATTTCATACATTATTAGAATACGATTGGTACAATGGTACTTATATGTGAACAATATTTAAGGTCATAAGTACTAACGTCATTATGATAGTGCATTAATATCATATATACTAGCAAGTCCGTAGGAGACACATTGTGTTGCAATAATAAGTTATCCCTTATTGAAATACACGACACATACGCATGTCACTTAGTGATTTAAAGTTTAACAACGACAAAATTGCGAACTTCCGTAATGAGTGTGATTAATACGCAACCATATTTAGTCCTATAAAGTATTTGATTCAAAATGCCAAACCGTTCTGGCCTTATACTCTGGTAAAGTTCAATAACGAAAACGATGGGTTATCATCGTTTCGTTTAAATAATAATAATATTATTATTATGTTTATAATATGCTGAATCATCTCATTTCAATATTCCATGTCTGCGTAGACAACTCTGTGATTGTGCTGCGTGCTGCTGTTTAGACGATTCACGATTGAAATATAATAATAATATTTTGTTCTTGACTCAAAATGGTAACAAATGTTCGGTTAATAGTAAAAAAAATTGACTCCATGGACATAAATTCAAAAGTCTGAATATATTATGTTGTTTTGTCTCGCAGTATTAAAAATGACATAACTATAACTTATATTTCGTCTAAACGAATTGTGATGCAGTGCGAAAATGATAATTTATATGATACGTACAATAACTATTTGTATCAAACACTGAGAAACATAATACTAAACAACCAAAGCATGTTACTCGATGTTTTTCTTCTACAAGGAAAGAAAATGTATGAATCATTAACATGTTATTGTTAATAAGTAACCATGACAGCAAAAATCTTACGAAAAATAGATCAGTAACAAAAAGTATTTTATCCACCCCCAAAACTTTTACGTTAAACAATATAACACACAATAATCCATGGACTATTTCGCTACTCTGTGTTTCATGGAGATTACTCTAATTTCAAATATAATCATGATGAATAGTTTAGACACAAAATAATCAATTGTCAATCAATTAGACAGTGTTTTTAAGATTCCGAGAGGAGCGATGAATGAATTGATTTTATAAGTATATTGTCTGCCTGTCATTATCTTTTGGGCAGAGAAAATATCACTACCCTAGTAAATTATACTCTCGCATAACAAAAAAACTAGGTATATTAAATTAACATTTGGTATGTATCAAAACAATTGTAAATTAATTTTTCATGAGTTCCAAGTGAAGGCGGGCATGTTTAGTGGAGCTCAAGGAAATAAATAAAAGTATACCTATACTATTTTATACGAAAAATAAGAAACCATTTTTTACTGTGTAATTAAAATAATTGTATTCCTGGAAAAATATGTGAATAATAAATTATAATAAGAGTTTGAAGTCTGAACTGCAAATAAACCGATTCCGAAGTATTCGTCCTAAACCGCCGCCCGATGGTATAAAATACAACGTTGTTGTTTTTACAAGCCAGCGACTAGGTACGCCCATCATATTATTATTAATATTCTAATTTACCCAGCAGCAGCTGGTTCAAAAGACTAGATGATTATTGATTTAATTAGAATAACTTTGATTCAAACTATTGTTGATCTCTCTTTTTTTGTTGAACTACCTAGCACATTTTAAAGAATAATGTCAAATTAAATATACATTAGTACTTACATTAGTATGATTATGTACAAAACTATTCAGTTCAAACGAATTTGATAATCCTCTGTAATACAACTATCATTGGAAATACAGTGTTTATTGTCAAAACACAAGATGCACCCGATGATGTTCCGTGTCTTTGAATTGCAGCGATATTGTCTCCTTCTGAAAGAATGACATAAAGTATATAATATATATATATTAGTTTACTGTCAAAAGTTAAATTAAAATCATTATAATATACTATGGCACATCAAACTCTTTTCATACAATCCCAAAATATATATTAATGTATATTTCATAAAATATTTATTAATTATGATTAATAATTAATTTCATAAACTTGTCAACAATTCTGAAGAGTATAAAAAATTAGTTTGAAAACTACTTGTCTTCAAAATATGTTTCGAATTGCGATTTCCAGCGGTTTCTATTAAAAGTTTGAGATCAGAAGAAACGCTTACGGATCGCTTGTTGCGAGGTGTTGAAATAAACGAAAAAAACATAACACACGTCTGGCATTTTATGGATACAATCAAACTATCCTCTGAACCGTATGTGGCGGATTTATTTCTCCAGTAAATGTTCTGAAAATCTTTAGCTTAACACTCAGGTCTGCTAGCGATGTGGAATATTTATATTAGATTCAGAGGTGTTGCGGTTCAGAAAAGGATTTCAAAAGGAATATGTTTGCACATCATGATTGTCCTTAAACCTTAAAGTCCTAAACACGATTTACAGTTTTTCGATAAATTTGATTTTAAACTGAAACTCATTCTCATTTTTACATTATGTATATTTATTTATTTTTAATTTACTATTAATTATTCAAAATATTGACAAAACACACTTCAATAATAAATTTAAATAATTAATATCTAATTATATATCGTGGAAACATGAATATTTATAACAAGTAATCATTTATGAATGTTTTATTCAATAAACCAAAAATGTGTATTTGTTTAAACAAAATTATACGGTTGTGTATTATTTTGGCAAATTGGAATGTTGCCAGTCTAGGTCAGAAAAAACGTAAGATAAAAATGACATCAACTTGAAAGGAGACCGATGTAGCTATTTCTCGATTCATTCACCTCGTGGTTTATACAGCGCTTTTTATCTTAACCGATAAAAAGATTCATTCAATTTGTTGTGAAACACCTCAGGAGGAAATAAGTCTGTTGAAAAATAATTGAAATTTGAGCATATCCAATGTTATAAGATAAAGTATCAATGACGTAATTTATATCTAAGTTGTACAAAAAAAAAATACTCAAAAACAACTATCAAAAGTTTAAATTACAGAAAAAAATGAAAATTATTAAGAATTCATACAAAAACACCTCTAGCATTTTAACTTAAGTTAACATTTCTAAGATGAAAATAATATTTCATATTGTACAATATTCTACCTATATTTAAGACCCATCTATATTTTATAAATATTTGTGTGTGTTCATTGACCAAAAATCACGACGATGATCAAAAAGAATAAAATAGTTATTACATAACGAACAAACGAAAACAGAACTAAGAGAATAACAATTCTAACGAAACCGATAAAGCAAGTGTCGTAAAAAAATGCAGATTTAGTGGGACGAGAAATGTGTGGAATGCGAATGATATACAAGAACACAATTTGGGAGCCAGATGAATAAAACCAAGAGGACGACTAAGACAGTGGTAGAGCAACCGCATTAAAGAAGATCTGAAGCTTCTTGTTATCAGGGATGAAAAAATGCTGGAGTTAGATAAAGAGGCATACTGGAAGAGGCAAAAATACTGAATGGCCCAGAATAAGCAACAAAATAAATAAATAGACAATAGTAGGTATATGAATAGAAATTGATATTTTATGTAATTTTTTTTCCAAATTTTTTGAAGATAAGAGAAGTATCAACAGTTTAACAATTTTTGGCGGAAATATTGATTTAGTTAAGTTACCACATAAAGAGACTACTGATAAATCACCAAAAAACAAACATGACAACTTAAAATTAATTGTATTTTTAACTACCTACCTATAAATTTGACTTTGTTAACATTTCTGACATGTCATACTTTGTCTTAATGTAAACCTAGTATGTATAAAATACTAAAAAAAAAAACTACATCATGAAGTAAAAACGACTACCCACCAACACTTACGGTAAGCATATATACTTGTGTGTAATTTAAACGAATACTTCTCAAGTTATAAATCTATTTTCTTAAAATACTATAGCTATAATAGAAGTTTAAGATAAGTTGTATTATAATTTATAAGTAATATAGTTATTATATTATCTAATATATTTTTTGATGCTGTGATTAATAGGAATTCTTAAAAAATATTGTTTTAGATTCATGTTACAGATAGTATAAAATAGTATAAATAATGGATAGCTTTATCTTCTTTGACATAAAAAAAAAAAGAAAATACTAAAAAGAAAAATATATTATATCCTATTGCTATGTTTTAAGGACTTAGTAACTTATATTATGGTAAACGTCACTAATCTGTCATCAATATTAATTAAGGTACTGTAGGTAAATTGCATATAGGTACATTAAAACTATTCAATAAAATAATTGTTTTTATACCAACACATTATTTATAACAAAAATCTAACCAATTGAATGCATAATTTTATCAATAGATTTATTTTTTTAATGCACTATTGCGAGTTGCATAAAAAATGTATTCATTTAAAAGTTGACTAAAATTTAATGGACCAACATAGTCCACTTTATCATATTTAGGGACCATTAGCTCACTATTAATTCATAAAATGTTTAGTAATTGTTCATGGAACTTGGAATAAAAAAAAATATATATATACTATCCATATAACGATATATTAAAATTCAAAACGCAGCATTTGTAAGGAGTTCTGTGTATCCAATATTAAGGTTAAATATTATCAACACATTACGTAGGATAAATTTATTAGTTTCCGTTTCATCATATCAATCGATTCAAATGATTCAATTTTGATATTGAAAATCGGTTTGAACATCTTAATAATAAGTTTACTGCGGTTCGCGGTCGTTGGATATTACGAAAAATTATATCCACTATACACAGATATTTAAAGAAGACACTGTTGAATGTATGAAAATGCTTGTAAGTCGATACTCAAATTTGTTTATGTTAAGATCATAATAATGAATCTTAACCCATTTTCAAAATCTTTATCAAGTAATTGGATTCAAAAGTTCTTTATAATTAAGATACTTAATATAGATAATATTTTAAGAATGGTAAACTGTCAGTTTCAAATCTCCATAAATCATGTTTGATTAGTAATGTAGGTATAGATCAATAAAATTTAAAGTGCATAGATAATAATATAAATAGCATCGAATTGAGATCCATTTTATGCATATTTATATATATATATTTTTTAATGTTTGCCAGTACAAAATAATGAATAACTCTATAATGATAAGTAGGGCAGAGGACTTGTAGCATTTGCATATTTATTTTGCACGGTCACAAAAATAGCAGAGTAAGAAACAAATGCGTTTCAAGATGAAGCAAAGCTAGTTTTGAAATTTAATTTTTATTTATTTCGAGTTTTGTTTTTTTGTTTTAGTGCATATTTCTTCGATTCTATACTTTAAGATGCTAATGTACAACCAAAATAATGTTGAATTTTCAATTATTTTAAATTTTGACCATATTAATATGGTTGTTGACTGTCCCCACACGCATGTTTTTCCTAGAGACACTTCTCGAGGATTGCCGATTAGATTTATCTTAAGGTTATTCATTTTATTTATGTACAAATATTCACTGCGTAAGATGTTATCAATACGAGCCACGGGGACAAAAAAAATTCAAATCAAATATATTCATACAAATAATTTTATTTTTTAATTCATATTTTTTATATTTTAGTGGTATATTTGGTGACATTTTAGAGTTGCAAGTCCTCTACACTAGTAATTACTAATATTATATCAAAATCAACATAAAATCAACTTTAATATTGTTGTAACATTATTATATGATTCATTTAATGTAGAAAAAAAGAAAATAAATATTTTTAACCAGTCTCTGGAAAATAGCCGACTCATTCATTTTGAAACTAAGTGTAAAATAAGACAGTTATATTTCCAAAATTTTTGAAATATCAAATTAATAGAAACCAGTACAAGCATTTACAATTTTAAAATTATCATGCGTGCGGATAATTTAAATATCATATCAACTGATAGATTTATCAAATACGTATTTCACTGACATATTGTTTTAAAATTGAATTTTCAAAAACAATGAACAAATCTATTATAATTTTGAAAATGTGTATGTGTTACTTAATAGTATATAATGTGTAGGTACATTGTATATTTGAAATCAAAATGTTGACAAACGATACAATTTATTTTGTTTTTTTATTTCAATTAAATTAAATCAGTAGATAATTATAATTATTTAGTATTAGTTGAAGGCAACTTTAATAATACTTTAAATATACATTATAATAAATTAACCAAACGTATTAATTTAACTATCCCACTCACCACGTGAATTTCGTGTACTGATTTTATATATGAAATTTGCTAAGTATACAATTGTGAAGTGAATAATAGTACTTATATTGTGTTTAGGAAATGTTTGAATGTCTAGAAACTTTTAATCACATAATTTATATTATCCAATTATTACAAAAAGAAAAATATGTAAGTTCCTGTTGTATTTTATAATGATTACATATGATGTATGAAGACTGAATAAGTAAAAAATTAACTTCTTTTTTGGATTATCGCTTTATATTCCTGAAATAAAATACAATATATGTTCACCTCAAAGATCCACTATTAGATTGTTGTACACAAAAATTATCATAGACACATTTCTTAATAGCATTTTTAATGTTTTGATACTCAATTGATATATGAGTATAAATTATCTACTGTTTTCAATAATAAGAAATATAATATAAACACATATTTTAGTTATGAAAATATTAAGTATATGTCTTTTAAGATATTTTCTTCCAAAACATAGCCTATTTTATATAGAGGATAAAAAAAAATCACACTCTAGATAAAAATGAATATTATTACGATATTATATTATGATTACATTATTTTTTTACAAGTTTTAATAAATAAACATTTTTAATAAGCTATGTTGCCTACAGTGTATACCAATATAAAGTTAAAATTAATGT